TCTCCCAGCCCCACCCAGAAGGGCGCTGGGCCAGGGCCACCTGGACACGCCCCGGCCAGTGGTCCGCGTGCCGAGCCTGCTGACTCACAGCAGCCCTGGGCTCCACGGCCGTCCGTCCCCCTTGGAGCCCGCTCTCCTGCGACCTGCCTGAGCGTCGCTCACTCAGCCACCAACTGGCCTGGCCCTGAGCCTTCTTAGTGTCTCTGGCTGCACCACTAAATGTCGCCAGGCCTAGGGATCTGTGGTCAGCAACAAGGGATTTTACACTGTGCAGTGCCCGGCATTCCACACCTCCCAGACCTCCCGCGGGCTCCAGCTTCAAGTGCAGCCGCCTTCTCATCTTCTCCGGGCACACCCATCTCAACTCTGAATGGGCCAACTGGAGCTCTGAGTCCTCCAGACGCCCTTGCCTCTCTCACTGGGAAAATGGCACCACCGTCCCATCCCATTGGCTGCTCAGATCAGAAGCTTGGGACTCCCAGGCTCCCCTCCCTCTCTCCCACCTACATCCAGGCCTCTGTGAGTCCAGGTTGCCCTCACCCTGGCCTGGACCTTCCCAGGCGCCTGACAATGGCTCCTCCTGGCCCTCTAACCCAAGCCACGCACGACAGCCAGAGTGACTTTCCAAAGCAGTAGGCCCGCCGGCCGCGGGGCACATCCTCAGAGAGCTCCCCTGCACCTGCGATAGAAGCCAGGCCTCACAGGGACCCTGGCCCTGGCCCTGCTGCCTTGCTCACCCTCCAGCCACCCATGGCCACGCCAAGCTCCTTCCCTTCAGCGCTCTTTATTTCTGCTTCTCCGCTGGGCCAGCTCACCCCAGAGCACCACGCTGTGCCCTTCTCACTGTTCAGCTGTGAGGGTAAAGCTCTTCCCGCAGGGAGCCTCCCCACCACCCTCCCAGCGAAGCGCAGCCTCCCCGTTACTCTCTGTAACATTGCGTATTTGGCTGGTTTGCTGCACTCATCTGCACCTCACAGGGTCTATATGCTAGTTGGCGTGTTCATTGGTCTCCTCCCTCTTCCTGGAATGTTGAGGGTACTCTGTCTTTTTTAAAAATATGTATTTGTATTGATTTCAGAGAGGAAGGGAGAGGGAGAGAGACCTAGAAATATCAATGATGAGAGAGGACCATCGATCGGCTGCCTCCTGCACGCCCCCTACCGGGGATGGACCCTGAAACCCGGGCATGTGCCCTTGACCAGAATCAAACCCGGGACCTTTCAGTCCACAGGCTGATGCTCTATCCACTGAGCTAAGTCAGTTAGGGTGAGGGCACTCTGTCTTGTTCACTGCCAGGGCCCAGCCCCGGTACAGTGCCTGGCACACAGGAGATGCCCAATAACTGCTGTGTTCATTCACCGACGGGCTGTGCAAACTATTCAGCATCCGATACATGTTGCTAGAGTATATGGGGAGTAGAGGGGGCCTCGGAGATCACCAGATCCAAATTCAATTTTTTCCTCCTTCTCTTTAGACAAGGAGACGGAGGCTGAGAGGAAGCCAGCGGTGAGGTCACGGTGCCCCAGCAGGTTGCTGGCAGAGCGGACTCTCAGGTCTTAGACAGGCCCTGGCCAGGTGCCCATGGTGCTCACCCTACCAGTGAAGACGGGATGTATGTGGGCTGGCATCCCGGTGAGCACAGCACGGCAAAGGCCACCCTTTCCTCGGGGTGCTGGCCCTCAGGGCCGGTGTCAGTCATGATGTGCCCCTGGTCTGCCTCTCATCCACCACGGAGCCTGCTGGAAGCGACGCTAAGCCTGCCTGGCCTGGTCTCAGGAGAGCGCGAGGAAGGCGGGAAGGGCCTGCTCTTCCCCTCCCTGTTGTCTGATCGGCCACACACGTTTCTCTGTAACTTCCATGACCCCAGGCCTGGGCCTCCAGTCTGCTTACACCGACACCTCATTGGTGAGGCCACATCTGCAGGAGAACTGGTGTTTCCAGCCAGGGACTCCACAGGCCAGGCCTCCACTCAGCCCTCCTGTGAGGCGAGGGCCCAGCCAGGGAGCGCTGGCTTTGGGGACAGGGGACAAAGGGAGCTGACCACCTGGAAGAGGAGAGAGGCTTTGCCAAGCCGGGCCCTCCGGCCTGTCTGGGGGCTTCTGATGCTGCCGTGTGGGGCTTTCTCCAGGAGGATGCAGAGGCCAGGCACACGGACATGAGAGCCAGGCCAGTCCCGTGGCCTCAGGACCGTGCAGGGCGCTTCCTGCTTCCCTCCGGCCTCGGTGCTAGCTCCAGCCTCCCCCTGGGTAGCAGAGCTGAGTGGGGGGCCCCGTGGCCCTGGAGGAAGGGGCACTTACATTTCTTCTGCAGAACATTCTGTCTGGCCTTGATGAATGCCAGGATGTCGGAATCCGTCTTGCTGTCTCCGGTGAGGGGGACGGCCGAGGCCCGCCTCTCAGGGATTCTGGGGACAACCACAGGTCACACTTTACTGCCCCTTATGTTTGGACTCAGCACTTACCTTTCCCACCCGCTTTTCCATTTTCAATGACTCCATGTCACCCAGGAGGCCATGAGGACCAATCGCTTCCTCCTCCCTCCCTCCCCCTTATCTGTGCAGCAGCCACAGCAAACCTTTGCATGCAATTGTGTCTGTCCTCACCACCTTCTCCACCCTTCGTCACACCCCCTCTTCCTCGTTCCCCAGCTTCCCCGAACAAAGCCCATGTGACCTGGGACCTAGCTCCTCCAGCACCCAATTTAGATGTCATGTGCCTTAGGCTGTCTCCCCAGTGTGTCCCATCCCCACCACAGCTTAGCCAGTTGTCCCTGAGGCAGGGATAACTATTCTCCCCTCTCTCCTTAAAAACAGAGCCATAATATTTAGCCAAGTAAGCTGCACAGCTAAAAACTACATCTCCCAAGTTCCTTTGCAGCGATGTGGCCAGGTGACCAGGTCCTGGCCAATGAGATTTGTAAGAAGTACTGGAAATCCCCCTAAGAGGGAAGGGAGGGACATATGCGGCCTTCTCCCTCCTCTTTCTCCCTCCAACGGCTCCATATAAAATCTCCCTTAAGAAAATTCAGAGCAATGTGCTCTCCTGGCTTTGCCAAGCTGCCACCCTCACACCTGCCCCTCCACAGCAGGTGACAGTCCCCACTCCCTCCTGTATGTAATAAGGTGCTCATTATCACAAGTCATCTTTTGTCAGCATTCCAGCTGCAGCTCAGCCAGGAGTGCTAAGGCAGAGTCACAGCAGGGGGGCAGGGAGCTTGTTGTGGGGGGCTGTCCGTCCTCTCTGGGGACAGGGAGGAGCCCGGTGGAGTTCACCCTGGGACACCTTGGGAGGAGAGTGGCACCTGCCCGATGAAGAAGGGTGTGCGGGCCTTCTACTCAGAGAGCACAGAGTGGGCACTGGGAGAGGCCTGGTCCACTGTGTTCAGGCGCCAGGGAGAGGCCTGGAATGAGTGGCTCACAGGTCTGAGGCCAGGCTTGTCAACTCTGCCCTCCCTGCCTGGGGGCTCGCGGCCCATGTTGGGATGGTCCCTGGGCTGGCTCTTCTTTCCTTTAATGGCCCACGTACATCTATTCACAGGAGACAGGAAGCATGCATACAGGGCCCCAGTGACCCTGGGGGATTCGGGTGCCAGAGCAGCGGCCAGCCCTGGGCTCTGTGTGCGGCCACTGGACAAGGGGGTCCTCAGACTGTGGGGGAGGCAGACCGATGATTTCCACCCAATTTGCCTATAGGTGGGGCAGTGCCAGGCATGAGAGGGGAAGGTCACAGACCTGTCGTCCAGGGAGGCACGAGGGCCCGTCTCCTCCGGGCTGGGCAGGATGGGGCGAGGCGAGGGCAGGATTTTCCTGGTATACACACTGCTATAAAGACAAAACCCACAGATGAGGAGGTAAGGGAGGAGGTTTACCAGGGAGAAACAAACTCAGGGTCTGTGGTTAGGAGCTGTATGGACCGAATCTGTGTGTCACCTCACCATTCATATATTGAAGCCCTCACCCTCAGTATGGTGCTGTTTGCAATGGGGTCTTTGGAGGTTTGGATGAAATGATGAGGGTGGGGAGACCAGAGCTCTTGCTATCATGTGAACACACGGCAAGGAACCGGACTCTCCCCAGACTCTGATTCAGCCTCCAGACTGAGAAATAAATGCATTTCTGTGGGGTGTTTGGTGAGGGCAGCCCGAGCGGACTAGGCCAGGAGCCCAGAACCCCGTCCTGAACGTCCTAGTCAGGTCAGGCTGCCAGAGCAGCAAACCACAGTCTAGGGCAGTGATGGCGAACCTTCTGAGCTCGGCGTGTCAGCATTTTGAAAAACCCTAACTTAACTCTGGTGCCGTGTCACATATAGAAATTTTTTGATATTTGCAACCGTAGTAAGGCAAAGACATATTTTTGATATTTATTTGATATATTTAAATGCCATTTAACAAAGAAAAATCAACCAAAAAAATGAGTTCACGTGTCACCTCTGACACGTGTGTCATAGGTTCACCATCACTGCTCTAGAGGGTGGGAGTGGGGAGAGACTTAAGCAACAGGAAGTGATTTCTCAGTTCTGGAGGCTGGGCGTTGGAGTTCAGGGTGCCAGCGCGTCGGGTTTCTGTGAGAGCTTTCTTCACTTAAGGTAAGAAATAACCAAGTATACTTGGTAGCAGGACACAGACTGGTATTTTTATTTGTGTTTTTTTCAAATTGTAAGAGAAAGTTTATTTAGAAAGAGTGAGCGAGCTTTCTGGCCTCTTATCAGGGCACTGATCTCACTCAGGAGGCCTGCACCCTCAAGGCCTAATTACCTCCAAAGATCCCACCTCCAAGTACCAGCACATTGGGGTTAGGTTTCAACATACCAGTTTGGGAGGGCACATTCGTCTGTAACATCCCACCCCGGATGGCCCCAAATTCATGTCCTCATTTCATCCTCTCCGCTTACCCCCCTCCCCCCCCCCCAGCTTGTTCCAGCATCAACACTAAGCCTAAAGTCCAAAGTCTCATCTGAATAGCATTTAATCAGCTCTGGGTGAGACGCAAGGCCTTCTTGATTCATTTCATCCTGAGGCAAAATTGCCCTCCAGCTGTGCGGAAACAGGCTCAGCATAGGCCAGAGGTCGGCAAACTCATTAGTCAACAGAGCCAAATATCAACAGTACAATGACTGGAATTTCTTTTGAGAGCCATTTTTAAAACTTAAATTATATAGGTAGGTACATTGTTATTGACTTAATTAGGGCACTCCTAAGGCTTAGGAAGAGCCACACTCAAGGGGCCAAAGAGCCGCATGTGGCTCGAGAGCTGCAGTTTGCCGACCATGGGCATAGACCTTCCCCTTCCAAAAGGGAGGACAGGAAATGAGGAAGGTGATGGGTCCCCAGGGAGTCTAAATCCTCACAAGGCCAACACCAGGAGATCTTAAGGCTCAACCATCATCCTCTTTGGCTTGATGATCTGCCCTTTGGTCCTAGCGGGGTGATCAGCCAGGCTCTGCTGGGCAGGGGTCATGCCCTCACGGTTCTGCTACATGTCCCCCAGTCTTGCCCTGTGGACAGCAAGCCGGTGGGCACCTCCTTTTGAAATGGAGGGGCAGCCCTGAGGCTCTGAATGGCCTTTGGGGTCATTCTCCTCTTGCTGGAGGAACGGTGGTGATCACGGCAGAGTAGCGCTGTGGTTCCATCCCGTAAAATCCAGGAAGTCCGGCAACCTGCCCCGTCCCGTCCCCGCTCCTCCTCCTCAGCTCACCCTGTCAGTGCTCCGGGTGGGCGGCCGATCCCGTCCCCGGGCCACGCCCACACTCATCTCCTTGTGGTCGCTCGGCCGCACCCTGGGGTTCTCTTCTGGAGACACTTGCTTAGCTTCTGCAGCTTGGACAGGCGGAGGAGTCTCCAAATCTGTACATTCTAGTCATTTTTGCTTAATAAGGTCACCTTTAAGTCATGACTCTCTTACATTTCACTCTAAGCAGTCAGGAGGGACCAAGCCATCCCTTCCACACTTTGCTTAGAAATCTCCTTGGCTAACACGTTATCACCTGTAAACTGGACCTTCCACAAATACTGGAACATGAACACAGCTCAGCCGAGTTCTTTGCCACCGTATTACAAGGACTGCCTGTCCTTCAAATAGCACGCTCCTCATTTCTGCCCAAGACCTCAGAATGGCCTTTACCACCCAATTTCTACCAATATTCTGGACACGATTATGTCTCTTCTCTAAAAGGTGGGAGCTTTCTCCATAGCTCTTCTCCGTCCATTATGAGCCCTCCCCAGAATTGCCTTTAAAAGTCCCTTTAGGACAATCTTGGCTTCTTCTGTACTTGAAAGCTTTCCAGCCTCGCCCCATCACCTGGTTTCACAGCTGTTTCAGCATCTTTTGGTTTTTGCTGTAGCAGCACCACTTCTGGTGCCCATTCCTGTCTGAGTCAGTGCAGGCTGCTATCACAACGTGCCGCAGACCTGGTGGCTGTGGGAATTCGTCTCTCATGGTTCTGGAGGCTGGAAGCCTGAGGTCTGGGTGCCAGCAGGGCCGGGTTCTGGTGAGAGCCCTCTCTGGGTTTCAGACTGCTGACTTCTGTTGTGTCCCTCCCTGGAAAGGGAGTGAGCGGGCTCTCTGGCCTCCTCTAATAGGGGCACTAATCTCATTCATGAGGGCTCCACCCTCATGATCTAATCACCTCCCAAAGATCACCCCCCATCTCCAAATACCATCACATTGAGGTTAGAGTTTCAACATATGAATTTCAAACATTCAGTCCATGACGATGGCTTATACATTAATTTTCATATTGGAGCATTGCATGTACTGGGTATGCAAGTTGAACGAAAGCAACGAAGATCACAAATGTCATTCATACACATGGTCTGCACACCAGGTCCTGGAGTGTGCTCTGCAATAGCCTCATTATCCCCATTATATACACGAGAAAACTGAGGCTTAGAGAAGTTTAAAAAATTCTAAAAGTTACCCAGCTGGTCAGTGGCTGAATCTGGACCCAATCACGACTCTCAAAGCCTCCGGAATCCATGCTCTCGGCCACGATGCTTTATTAACTGGGCTCTCTTCTGGTGTTCTGGGGGAGCACACTGGAGATGCGTGGCATTTCCCTGGCCACACCAACTGCCCTTAGGAGGCCCCAGCTGACCAGCACTGTGCTTCCTGAGTGAGGCGTCAGATCCAACAGCTCACACACATGCAATTTGCCCATTTTACTATGTTGCCTGATGTATTGGCCTGGCCTTGGATTCTTGGTTGCAAATAGCAGATCCCAGGAGCACCCCCTGGGAGGTAAAGGGCCAGTGGCCAGAGCCGTCCCAATGCCAGGGGCAGGATGGGGTCCTCTCTCTCTCTGACCTTGGGAGGGTCCTGTCTACACACACGTCAGAGCTGGAAGAGGCCTGAAGAGTCTCCCGGTCAGAACCCTCCTTTTACAGGGAGCACTCAGGCCGAGGCAGGCCAGGGTTCGAGACAGGTGCACCGGCTTTGCCAGGTCTGCACCGAGTCCAAGGAACTCCATAGGCCTGACAACCTGAGGTCCCGCCCATGAGTGCAGCCCCCTCCTCCGTCCTCCTCCACAGCCCTCAGCCTCTCCCGTCTCTCCCAGCAGCGGGGCTTCTCCCCTGGGCTTGCCTCCTCGGGTTCAGGGCGGTGGGCCAAACAGGCAGGAAAGGTAATCAGAGCCCAGGCTGCTCACTGGTATTTCCCAGCACCCCAGAGCCTCCCCACTGAGTGTGTGGGCCAGCTGGAAGGCAGCTGCAGGACCAGAGGCAGCCACAAGGTGGCAGGCTCTGCGTGCTCTTCTTTAGGGAACAAAGGCCAATTCTTTGGGCTGGAACTGGAGTTTTGGGGGCGGGGGCGGGGAGGGTGAGGAGAGAAGGAGAGAAGGGTCCAGGTCAGCTTGGAAGCTGTAGCAAATCTTATAGGACCAAGTCATTGGCACACAAATGCGTCATTGACTCAATGGTTTCCAGAGGAGCCTGTTCTAAGATTCCAGGGAGTGTGCACAGGAGCCAAACTGTGGAGGGTGGGGAGTGGATGGAAGGGGCGGAGCTGGACAGGGCCGGGCAGAAGGGCGTGGTGACCACACCATGGCGGAGAAGGCCCTGCAGTCCCGACGCCCAGCCCATTGCCACGACCAGCTCAGGCAGGAGCATGGCACGATGCGGAGGCTGGGGCTGCTGAGGGGATGCCTCTGCTGGTCCCTAAGCTGCCCCGGGGACACCGATGCCATAGCCCAGCGTCTGATCCCTCATGTAACAAATTACTTTTGTCCCCTCTCCTGACCAGCCAGCCTGACGCTGAATTCATCTCTCATGTTGACATTTGTTCTGGAGAGAACATACCAGCCACCAGAACTTATTATCTTTCTTAATAAGGATTAATAAGCCACATTTATATCAATTAGACCTCCCGGTTGCCATTCAGAGCTGTGAATTTAGTGTGTGCAGCCGGCAGGCTCTGCACACCCTCGGGAGGTGACGGAATCCGGTTTCTTTCAGAGAACCTAGGAGCGGAGCGGCCCTGCCCGCCGAGCCCATCAGCAGCGGCCTCGCTGGAGCTCGGGTGCAGACACCCGGCGGGCTCGCTCTCTCGCTCCAGCGGCTCCTCCGTGGCACTGGGGCACTCATCTGTTCATAGAGCAACAGTGTCGGGGGGACCCTGGTGCATCTGACAGACAGAGGGAATCCCAAAGGGGGAGCTGGCTTGCCCAAGGGCCCACTGCTGGGAAGAGCTTTGAGGATGATTCAGCATATCCTTTGGGAAAGTCTCAACTGGGGGGACTCCTTGGGGGTCAGATGGAAAGAAGAGATGGACAGAGGGAAGGGAGAGGGAGAGAGAGAGATAGAAACATCAGTGATGAGAGAGGATCATTGATCGGCTGCTTCCTGCATGCCCCCCACTAGGGATGGAGCCTGAAACCCGGTCATGTGCCCTGAAGGGGAATCAAACTGGAGACTTCTTGGTTCGTGAGTCGATGCTCAACCACTGAGCCACACTGGCCGGGCCGGCTTTTCTCGGTTTTTTGTTGGAATGTGCTTTCTGGTCCAGGGCCCCATCGGGGACAGCACATCACGGTTCTAGTCGCCGCATCTGCTCAGGCTCCTCGTGTCTGTGGCTGGTTCCTTGGCAGCCCTGGGGAGGACTGGTGGCGGGGAGGGGGGCCTGGAGAACGCCCCTCCACGGGCCTTGCTGCTTTCCTCACGACTTGGCTGGGGTTTGGATTATTGAGAAGGCCAGAGGTGGAGTGCCAGCCGTCCATCCCATCACGGGGCTGTCTAACAGCCCCTCCCCCAAAGCTCCCCAACCAGAGAGCCCCGCTGCCCTTCACCCCATCACAGGGCTGCTCCCAGGTGGCAAAGCGAGCCCCACCCTGCCTGGTAAGGGGTGGAGTAGGGGGTGGGGGGCAGGTGCTGTCTGTCTGGGGCTGCAGGTGGCCAGGGCACATGGCACTGGCTGTACCGCCTGAGCTGTGTGGTTGGAAAGATGATGCCGTGGGTGGCATGAGAAGGAACCTGCCCTCCAAGGCGGTGTGTGGGGAGGCATGTCCCTGCTGGGTCAGGCCGACATTCGGGAGACTGGCTCTGGGCCGTCCTCACCTTCACGGGCGCCGCCCGCATTTGTCCTCACAGCCTTTCACCAGAGCTCCTGGCAGGCGTCTGGCAGGCTGACTACCCTCTGCCCTGCTGCCAACACCCACTCTCCCCACCACCCTGCTGACCCCTCTTCCTGCTCAGGGAGCTGGACCGGGGCCTGTGCGGTCAAGGGCTCTCTTGTTGCCATGGCAGTGGGTCTGCAGCGTCAGAGCTGGGGAGCGACTAGGGGTGGGGGTGGGGGGCACCCAAACAAGCCAGGAAGCCACTGCCTGGCGTCCACACGTGATTTAACAGAGTGACTGCTCCTCCCACAGGGACCTCAGAGCAGCCGAGCGGCCAGGAGGACAGTGGGGAGCTGTTTCGAGGCGCCCCAACCCTGTCAGCCGAGCTCTCCTCTTACCTTTGGTTAGAGAGAAGTGGGGGCCTCTCGTGCTGGGATCCGGGCCTGGGTGGGAGCGGCTGCGTGTGACTGGGTGAGTTCCCTGCCAGAGGGTCCACCTGTGGGCCAAGCAGCGTCGCACGGTGTTAGCATGAGTCTGAGGATGGGGAAGGGCCCTGGTTTAGTTCTTAAGGGGAAAGAACTAGCTACGGAAGTTGGTGTATCTGACATACGCGGGAAAAACAAATCTAGACACAGTGATGACTGTAGTGACCGGCACCTACATATCACCTGTGGGCGGCGGGGCACAGGCAGTGTGTGATCTGGGCTACGTTGTCCACATTGAGCACATAGTCCTTCCTGCAGTTAGCAAACAATGTTTAAAATGGGATCTGCCCGGCTGGCGTGGCTCAGTGGTTGAGCGTCGACCTGTGAACCAGGAGGTCAAGGTTCGATTCCCGGTCAGGGCACATGCCCGGGCTGCGGGCTCGATCCCAGTCGGGGGCCTGCAGGAGGCAGTTGATCAGTGATTCTCTCTCATCATTGATGTTCCTATCTCTCTCTCCCTCTCCCTTCCTCTCTGAAATCAATGAAAATATATTTAAAAATAAAATAAAATGTGAGCTGACAGTTCTCCGAAGTCCTTTCTGGTTTTGCATCCCCAGTCACAGGGAGATGAGGCCCGAGGCGGGAGGACGCACCTCGTGTGGGAACAGCTCTGTCGTATTGCCTGGAACCACACGTCTGCACTCAGGGCTCCTGGGAGGGCTCCAGCTGCAGCTCATCTGGGCCTGGGCAGAGTGCCCGTGACGCTCCCTGAGCACAAGAGCACGGGGCACTTCCCACTTGCTCGCTGTCCCCCAGGACACTGTCGTGGGAGCTTCTCATTGTCTCCCACATCCTGCTGAGGCTTAAGGCATCTGCCTTGCCCACCCAGGCTCAGAGCCAGTTCCTGGGCAACAGGGTGCCCATTATCCCTGCTGCGGTCACCTGGCCCCTTTGGTTTGAGTGATGTCTGTGGACAGAGGCACCACAGAGCCCACACCTTGGCTCCCTGGCTTCCACTGCCTCTGTAAGTCATAGACTGATGGACCCTGTCAGCCGGCACAGACACCTCCTGAGTCACACGGGATGCCCCTCACCCTGTTCAGCTATGGAGCCCCCTTGGGTGCTGCAGTGGCTGTTGCCTCACTCTTGATGACGAACCAGGATGGGGTCTTTCCCGGGAGGCAGGCAGACCCAGGGGCACTGGGGACGTGATGGGAACCAATTACATCTTTATTTTTCCCAACTTGTGCCTGAAATGTAGCATTTTTCCCAATGATAAGCATAGACAACAAACCACCAATGTATTAGGAGTACCAGCGACTTCATCACCAGTACAAATCATAGAGAGATCTTCGTACTGCATTACAGTTACAGAAATCTTAAAATATTGTGGTCATCATTTCTTTGAAATTATAGTAAGTATTGGGCCTGCCCTAGACCTTATTCATGAATGCATTTGTAAAGTGCTGTACATATTATTATATCATAACTTTGTTTTAAAAATACGTTGAGAACTGTATTTCAGTCTTATTGTTATTGTGTTGTGTTGTTTTTTATTTTTTGTCATCATGTGTGTTTAATTTTATCCAAATACTAGGGGCCCAGTGCATGAATTTGTGCACCTTGAAAGGAACTGTGGGCTGTGAGGCTGCTGTGGGCACAGGGGCAGGTCTCAGCCCATCCTCCACGCCTCCCCGACCCGGCCCCTCCCACCATGGCCCCTGGTCCCCTGTCTGCTGGCAGACCCACTCCCATTGCCATTGCTCCCACATGCTGATGGCTCCAGCCCTACTTTCACCCTCTGACAGCATGAAGCAATTGGGGCCACCACCAGCAGCAGGTGTGAGCGGCGGCTGCTGCCCCAATCACCCCTAAGGAGCAGGGGGAGGTGGAGAAGCCCTCAGGGGCGATCAGGGCTGGCACCGGCACCAGCAGTGGGTGCGAGCGGGGCCGATGCTGGCAGCAGGTTCGAACACCGGGCGGGACAGTGGCGTGGGGGAGCAAAGAATTTTCAGTAATCACCAGAGGCTCACCCGGATGACAGCAACTGGCACCCTGCCTTGGTCCGGTGCCCCCGCTCACCTGCTCCACCATCCCGCCTTGGCTGATGCCTGCCATGTTCTGCGTGTGCCCCCTGGTGGTCAGTGCATGTCATAGCGACTGGTTGTTCTGCTGTTTGGTCTATTTGCATGTTAGGGTTTTATATAGCTAGATTCTTCCCTATTATCGGCCCCTCCCTATGGCCACTTGGTAACATGTTGGGAGCTGCTGCCTGGCTGTCAGGGCAAATAGCTTCTTTGGATCAGTTTTGTGTCAGATGGTCCCTGCGGGTGTGCCAGCTGTGCAGGTGACACGACCGCATGCAGGTCATCACTTCCTGCACCATCGCCAGGGAGCCCGAGGACAATCTGAACAGGGACTGAGCTAATGTCCCCCCAGATTATCTTAGCTTCACTATGTGATAGGGAACTTTTAAGAATTTGTTCAGCAAATATGCAAAGGTTTATCTACAAATGTGTTTCCCGTGAAATACTAGAAGTAACCTAAACATTAAGCAATGGATTAGTTAAGGAGACTAAAACAGATCCATGTGATGGAATGGTGCCGGCCCGTAGGACGCTGGTGAAGAAATCACAACGTGGAAGAGCAGTCATGCTCCGTAATTAAGTAAAAATGCCTTTGTGACACCTGGAGACCAATACGATTCTAGTTTCATACAAACATGAATATATATGCATAGACATGTGATAGGATAGTGTGATCCAACATGCGACAGGCACCGAGCAAGGAACAATGAGCCCAGATCACTTGAGTCTTTTGTTACCAAATAAGCGCTTGCTTCACACAGGGGCTTAGAGCATGCGGGCCTGTGTGCTGAACCCTCACTCCTCCTCCCCTGGCAGCCCCAGGGGGCTGCATCTGCCCCTCCTCCGCTGCCCTGCCCCTCCCCAGCCCCCGCAGGGCCCTGCGGCCACCCGTACCTGCAGGCTGCTGGCCTCCGCTGCCCACCAGGCCTCAAACTCCTTCTGCAGCTTCACCTTGGCTCTGTCCATGAGCAGCTGCAGGTGCTCGATCTCCACCTTCAGGGCCTTCAGGCGCGTGAACATGGTTTTATACCTGCAGGGGCATCAGGCAGGAGCCGTGAGAGTCTGGAAGGAGGTGGGGCTGTGGATGGGCTGTTGGCTGAGGATCTGTGCCTCCGTGGCCTCACAGTGCTGCACTGGTAATAGGACTGGGACCCTCACGCTGCCCACCGAGGCCAGAGTGTGGTGCCAGGTTTACCACCCACCACAGGGAACCAGAGCTTGGCGCTTCTGTCCCGTGGGCTTGTGGGCCTGTGTGTGAGATGAAGGTCCCGTCTCCCAGAGTGGTAACTGCCATTACTGAGCACCTGGGAGGGGCAGGCATTGCTGCAGGCCCTGGACATATACACGCTCACTGAGCCCTACGGATGCACACAGTTCCTCTCCTTGGCAGACT